CTACAATAGATTGGGTCAAGGCTGTGCTTCCACTCAAAGTAAATATTTACTTCTGAAACAACATTCAGGCAATAAAAGCCTGTGTTGAGCAAAGGCCCTGAAGCGGAAGGTGCTGGTGACCTGCGCTCTTGTGTCCACACAAACATTCACAACTAGGAGTTTGTGGCAGTGGATGGGACTTATCTGAGCAGTGGAGGGAAAGAAGTATTTTGAAAGCAAGATTTGCTATGTTACAGATATCTAAAACTGTGTCATAGAATTTTCTATATGTTTTCAGAGACTAGAATGGGAACCTGGATAGCTTGCTGTGTTATGTGTGCTGTGGATTTCTAAACTAGAAGAGACAAAATTTCCAGACAGTTGGATACAGGCTAACTTGCAACATTAAAAGAACCATAGACTCTTTGGGAATGATTTTCTTTTTATTTCTTCCCAGTCTGATACTGAGAAATATTTCTTGGTCCAGCCAGGGCTTGTCTTTAACACTCTTGATAGTACTATGATCAGTGGCCTCCTGTAGGGTCAGAGAGAAGCCTCTGCAGAAGGAATGTAGCCACTAATGCTGTTGTTATCAGGCAGTTTCGTTTACTCAAATAAAATGCAAATATAGTACAAGGTCCACTTCAGAGGGAAGAAACTCACAGAATTCTTAAATGATGCTGACAAATTCAAGCCAAAGTCACTTCTAGGATAAATATTTTCTTTTGAAAAGAAGAATTACATGTTAGGAGAGACCATATGTGCTGTAGCACAAGCCACATAAAGTAGTCTTGAATCTTTTACTGCCAACATGGTTTGATAACAACCTGACATTGTACCTTATTTTCTGTTCACCAGAAAGACTTGCTCATGTTCATGTTTTTTAAACAATTTACTTTGTCAGTGATATTTCTCCATTCAAAAGTGAGTAGGTTATAACCCAGCTGCAGAGCCTCAGTTTACCATGAGAAGATGGGGACTAAATTTGGCTACTGACAGGACAGATTGTCTTAACTGGAACTTTCAGAACTGCAGTTCTAAGGAACAATCCCATAACAGTGCCTTTTGCTGTGAAGACATTAAACTCATGAAATCTCGTGGGTTTTTTTCTACTGAAGTTGATTAAACCATCAGAGTTCTGGTAAAGTTGCGCAAAATCTTCTGTGGAAACAAGGAAATGCTCCCTTTGAGAAAGAACTGAAGTTTTCTCTTTCATAAATTCCTCAAACTATTTATTTGAGCATGTTGTCACAAGTTAGTATCATTCTCCTCTAGCATAAAGGAAGAAACTGAGAAACAAAGAGTTGATCTGGTTTGACAAAGGTCATGGGAGTTTAAATTTATTTGTATTTGAGAGTGAGTAAGTTTTGGACCAGTTGTCATTTTATTTATGCCCTTTTTGACAGACTGTGCAAATCTATTAGAGTATACTCGTTGTTTATAGAGCACAATGAAATATCGAAGTGGTATAAAAGTGTTCATGTATAAAAAAGCATAAAAACATTGCTATTAATGTTGATAATTATTTATCTAATGCACTTTGCATACAATATGATCTGATCTTCTTAAAATGCTTTGATTGGAGGTCCATCAATTAAAGGAATAAAGAATAAATGTGAAGGAGCTGAATCACAGAATACTGAAAAGCTTAAAACAAAACTAGATTCTACTAAAATCCTTGTTTGGACAGAGAAACCACTGAAAGTTTGTACTTTGTGATCCCTACTGCACTGTCATATTACAGATGGTGACAGGAACAAAAAGAGAAACAGGAGATTTGGTTTTTGCAACAATGAAAAAAAGAGAAAAAAAGAAATGTTTCGAGGTACTTAAAGTAATATACACCAGGGAAGAACAGTGCATGGGATTCCCTGGATTTCTAAGCCTATGGAGTTTATTGTACACTCCTCAGCCTTGCTTAACTTCTCTTTCAGTATAAGCTCCTGAAGTACAAGTAGCTTTCCAAATACAAACTTTGTGAGTTCTATTTTCCACAGGCCAAATTAATATTTAACTAAGAACATAAGTCTTAGAAATATTATTCACACTAGGCATTTTGTAACAGATTTTACAAAGCATTAAATATTTACATGAAAAATTAGCAATTTGCACTATAAGGACAAGTTCTACTGTTCTGCAAGTGAGTACAGTTCCACATTATGTGGTTTACAACATATTAATTGCAATGTTCAGCTACTAATTTCAAGCTTGAGAGAAATCTCTAAGAAGCAAATGCAAGATTTTGTTGGACTAAATTACATTTTGGGACAAGGCAGTTATGAGAACGTGTTCTTAGTAAATTACTTGATACAGCTGCTATAGCTGAAGTACTGCCAAGAACAAGCTGTATATTGTAAATCTTGAAGACATGTTATTGAAAATATATGCTCACCCCAATGTACTAAAACACGAAATACAAACTTCTGTCATAAAATTCCTAGTTTATCAACAAGAATTTAGTTGCCATGTGTACTGTTAACAGAGTTTTTCTCACCTTTGTGACAGATTTGGTTAATGGGTATTTTCATTTATGCATACACACAGTAACACTAATGAAGGAAAAAATGAAATATTCCTGCAGAGTAAAGAAGATCCTACTCACCCACCATCTCTTTGGAACGGGCTACATTTTTCTGAAGGCAAGTTAGATCCTGCCCCTCTCAATGAGTGTCCCCATCAGCTCAAGCACTTACAAGCAGATGAGCATTTGTTTATGGCTCTGCAGTGTGCTGCAGTGCTCATTTCTGTCAAGCTGGGACTTCTCACACTTCAATATAAACATTGCTACAATATAAACAGTCACAGTGGCTTCTTCAGAGTAACAGGAGAAAAATGATCACTTCTACAATGTGACTCACCTGGGATACTTATCTACCTTAAGATGACACAAAATCCTGCCTTTGACCGCTTCTGTTCACTGAATACAAAGAAATTCTAGACAAGTTCAGAGGCAGAAGTCTTCATGGCTGGCATCTAAAATCAGATGAACCTGTAGATCTCACTTCTAAAACCAGTAGGATTCATTGGCTTGGCATGTAAGTGCTCTAAGATAGGGTGAAATACAGCAGATTTTTACCTGTCATATCTGAATTTTCATGTGAAATCCTGCAGCTCTTATTCATGACCTCACTGTAAATCTTGAGTACCTTAAGCTTGCATTGCAGTATTACTCTCTAATAAAATTCATGGTTCTCCAGAATGTATAAAGCTTTTTCCCAATATTTAGACATGACTATTTCATCCAGAAAAGTGTGAGAAAATATTGAATAAAGATTTGTTTATTTGTGGATTTTCTTACTGTATTCTCTTATCTTCAAAGCTTCTTAAGCCTTTTGTTATCTTTTAGTGAAATATATTTGGAGAAACAGAAAGAAGAATGTCTAAGAGATAACAGATTCTACTCACTGTACCTCATAATTCAAGCTTAAGAAATACTCAGGGGAAAAAATATTTAAAGTCAATACTTCTTCATAGCAGGTCTGGTTTAGATGTGGAAGTTGCTGCTACAGAAACTGAATTGCTGAGCTCAAAAAATTTCAAGAAACAATAAGTGGGTATCAAGACTATCTTGTTATCTTAATAATTGACAAACAAATCTGGAAATACTTCCTCATCAAAGTTATATCAATCTTTTTTATTAGAAACCAAAAGAAGAACTATATAAGATGAAAATTATCTGTTACCTACTGCAGATGTTCTGAAACATCTGGCATGAGTCACAGTTAGTCACAGCAGAAAAAATACTTGGCCTTGAATCTAATCAAGTATGAAAAGACCCTTGTACCTTCTTTGAAACTCTTTTCGTATTAGTGTTGCTAGCAAATGAAAGTATTTTATCACATTAGTCTTCCAAGCAAGAGCAACCAATGGTTCCCAGTGAAATACCAACATGTTCATACAATGTATCACAAAGATATTTTGAGTCTGATACATTTAATTTTTTTTAAACAGAATAATATATTTGGTATTGTGCTCATTTTGAATACTACATTGTTTGTCACACTACATTTGGTAATAGACCTCTTCAAATATATTTAACAAATTGTTCCATGAGTAATAACTATGTATAAAATATCTTCATTGAAATAAAAAATCTATATGTATTTTCTTAATGAAATACAATATATACATTACGATCTGATTGTTTTAAGGTAAGCCAAATTTTGGGCTTAAACAAATTCACAGTGTACATTTTACCTCTGTAATAAAAATCTTTAGAAGTGCCTGGATCTTAAACTGTGTTCACGTACTTCTTTTCAGTGAGTTTATGGAGAGTGAAGGTTTACCATCACCTAGCACTATAGCAGGTCCAAACTGCACATTACAATGACCAAAACTAAAGACTTCTGATTACCAAAAGCAAATGTTGACTGTCCCTGTTACCTCAAATTTTGACCAACAGATTTTCCGAGGAGCTTGTCACAGGTGGAAGATACGCTTTGAGCAGCATGGCCTCTAACACAGTAATTCAATGGTGCTGAACTAACTGCTCACTGCTTCAGAAAACCAGGTCCAAAATACTCAAGTGGGAACTCAAAATCAGTGGCCAGTCCTGCCCGAGGGAGATGACCAGGAACTGTCCAGGAGCCAAAAGGCAGTGAAGTTATGGTCACATTGCCTTCCAGTCTGAGGTCGCACCAACTGCCCATGCTCTACTATCTTTGAAAACCTCACTTTCTTTTTTCTCCCTCAGAATAAGAAGCCTTGGGAGTTTATAAACCCTGAGTTCATTATGCCTGGAGCCCAAGGACACAGATTGTCCCACATGCTCCACAGGTGGCTAAACTAACGTGCCAAGCAGTTCCCCCACACCGTGACAAACAACCTCGGGACAGGCTGACTTCAGACCCTTGCCTCCACCTGTCTCCATATGATTTCAAAACCCGTTCTAATACACGTTTTGTTTTGGTTTTTTTTCCCTGAAAATATACAGTGATTCCACCAGAAATTTTTTTAAAAAGGACTATCAGTAAATTCAGCTGGAAACTAATCTAAACTCATTAAAAAATAACCTCAGCCTAAAAAGGAGGTTGAGGTTATTTATATTGAGATACATTCCACAATAAATAAATTTCACAAAGCTAATTTTAAAGCAATTACTGATATTTCCATCCTTGTTTCTTAAACATACAAGTCTTTTACAGGTGCATTCTTACACCTTGATGTCCCTGTTGCAATTTTTCACAACCCTTTCACTAATCGCAACCAAACTTAAAGAGAGGAGAGATGCCCAATATATGTTTATAACAGTCACAGAATCAGTGAGAAATACAAATTACTGTATTAACTGGGGAAAAAATTATCTGGAATTTATGCTGTATCTACCTGGAGAGAGAGAAACTAGCTGACTGTCCTGCATGGGCATATTAGTGACACAACAAACAGCCAGAGACAGACACCTCATCTCCAGTTTAACAGAAAGAGACATAGAAGTATTGCAGTCGGTAGGGTGAAAGCACTAGAGGCCTCTGCTGATGGCATGGAGATTCTTCTTTGGAGCCCTAAAGAACACAGCACAAGAACTGAGCTTTCTCCGGTGGAAAAAAGGATGAGGGATGCAAAGAAGATGAGATTTCATGAACTTTTGAAACAAGATGCTTTTCTTTACTATGGAGAGATCTGAAGAAAATGTTATGATTTAAACAGATTTAACTATGGGGAAACATGGTCCCCCATGTATGCTACCGCCAGAATTCAGAGAGAGGTTTCAACTAACATTTTAGTATCTTCTACCTTAAATAAAATTGTTACATTCAACCCCCCACCCTGTAGTTTGGGAGGTTCAGTTCAAGACATAAAAGCTGAAGAGCCTGGGAATTCTGAAAGAGATTAGAACATCAATGATTAAATATCATGGATTAAAAAAATTTTTCTTCTGGTCTCAGCAATAGCTTCTTAATAAACTTGATGAAAAATACTTATTTATAAATGCTCTGACTCCCATTGGAACCTAGGGATCTTTCAGGATAGTCCAGTCCAGCAGCGACAGGGATAAGTTGGGAGAAGTGTAATACAGTGCTATGCATATCTTGATACTTTACCTCTGCATGGAAACATTCCTAAATTATTTTAATATCCCATTCATTTTTAAGAATTCAACCCCTCCCCCCCCCAGTTGGGAATGCTGGAAAAATTAAATAGCTTTTGAGATAGATAGATATATACATATCTGTAAAAGCGTGGAATTTTTCTCTTTTGCTTCACTAAAATATATGTAAGAATCTTTACAAAAGGAAATTTGCAAAAAATAAACAGAAACAGTAATGTAGGAAAATTTTAGATCTATGCTTTTAGTCTTTCATGACTGGCCTTATCAAGATTCCACTGGAACTCTAAAAGAGGTAAATTGAGTATCTAAATTATCTCAAATTAACTCTTTTTCAGCAAGTAAAGAATAAATATCTTTACAGAAGTGGCATCCCCTCCCTACTGTACACCCACAGGACTTGTCACTGTGTTTTTTCAATAAAGAATTGGAATGATTTAATTTCTGAATCTTCTGTATAAACGTGAGCTAGACTTGAGAAAAACAGAAATATGGCTTTAAGTGAATTGTTAACATTCTGTTGCATCTCTTAAACATTTCGGTTATCTCTTGCTTTCTTCTTCCTTAGAGTCAATTGACAGTTTTTCCCCAAGTTTCCTTATAAGTTCTGCCAGATCTTCAGAATTTTGAGATTTTTCCTCAAGGAGTTCATACCGGAGACTTGAGATGTCCTGTTTAATTTCCTTCAGTTCACCTGTAACAGATATTAGAAGATCATACTATTAAGAAACAAAAGAAAAAAACCACCATATCCAAATATCTCACAATTATCACAGGTTTTTTCTGTATTTCTTTGTTGAAACAGAAAAAGCAGATGCTCTGTTGCCTGTTGGTGAATGGTGGCTTACAGACAGGAATATGAAGATGCAGTTCAGGAATCAAACAAATCTGAAGGCAAAAGTGTGAGAGGTCACATCAGTTCACAAAACTCACATGATCTCTTATATGGAAGCTGCTGTTCTGCTGCAAGAGACATCACAGAATCATAGAATCACAGAATCATTTAGGTTGGAAAAGACCTCTAAGATCACCAAGCCCAATCATTAGCCAAGCACTGCCAAGTCCACCTCTAAACCTTGCCCCTAAGCACCATGTCTACATGCCTTTCAAATAATTCCAGAGATGGTGACTCAACCACTTCCCTGGACAGCCTGTTTGAATACTTCACAACCCTTTTTGTAAAGACGTTTTTCCTAATGTCCAATCTAAATCTCTCCCTGACACTATTTGCTCTTGTCCTGTAACTTCTTACTTTGGAAAAGAGTCCAATCACCACCTCACTACGTCCTCCTTTCAGGTCGTTATAGTGGATGATAAGGTCTACCTTTGAGCCTCCTTTTCTCCAGATTAAAATCCTCAGTTCCCTCAGTCGCTCCCCGTCAGATTTGTGCTCCAGACCCTTCACCAGCTCCATTGCCCTTTTCTGGACATGTTTCAGCACCTCAATGTCTTTCTTGTAGTGGGGTGCCCAAAACACAGAATTTGAGGTGCGGCCTCACCAGTACTGAGTACAGGGGAACAATCACTGCCCTGGTCCTGCTGGTCACACTATTGCTGATACAGGTCAGGATGTCATTGGCCTTCTTGGCCACCTGGGCACACTGCTGGCTCATGTTCAGCCCCTGTTGACCAACACCCCCAGGTCCTTTTCTGCAGAGCATGCAGATTGGTGTTGCCTGAGTCCTCTTGGCCAGCAACAGAGCTTCTCATTGTCCAAAAGAGAGCAGTCCTCTCCTTTTCCTACTGCACTAAGTATCTTTCTAGCATCAGATGGGTGCAAACAGACAAGAACATCCCTGTGAAGTGCATTTACTAGATGTTTCCAGCTAATAAATCAAACACAGAAAAAGCTGAAACATATGCATCCCCATATATGAATTCACAATAAGAACACATCCCGACACAAATGAAAATTCATATGGGAATGCCTCAAATCAACTGCTGCATTAAATGCAGTCTCACTATGGGAAATGCCTTGGGCATCACAGCAGCCTTCCCAAGTCCAAAGGGAGTCTACAAGAAAGCTGGAGAGGGATATTTTACAAGGGCACGCAGTGACAGCATGAGAGGGAATGGTTTCAAACTGAAAGAGGGTAGGTTTAGATTGGATATTATGAAGGAATTTTTTCCTGTGAGGGTGGTGAGGCACTGGAACAGGTTGCCCAGAGAAGTTGCAGATGTCCCATCCCTTTAAGTGATCAAGGTCAGGTTGGATGGGGTTTTAAGCGACCTAGCCTACTGGAAGGTGTCCCTGCCCATGGCAAGGGGGTTGGAAGTAGATGATCCTTAAGGAACTAGATGATCCTTAAGGTCCCTTCCAATCCAAATGATCCTATGTTTCTATTATTACTAGAGTAGCAACACTTTTGACAACTTATCAGATCACTGATGTTTTCTGATGGGACGCAAGAGACAGGAATCCTATCTCTTCTTTAACTTCAATTTCATGGTAATTTTATATCTAACACTTGTAAACATGTAAAGTGAATTAAGTATTTTGGAAACTTTTTTTTCAAGTGGCATATGTAACCACTTTAATTTGTCTTGATTATCTGATTAAACATACAATTAATCAACATACTCACCTTCATTGACTTCATCACTTTCCTTATCTATCTGAGCTTTCAATACATATCTTTTAATGAGACGTTTCATTATTTTCTAAAGAGAAGAAAGGAAGAAAAAAGTTTTCTTTGTTGGACTATTATTTTTACAACATTTCAGAATATGAGATCTTGTCCTGCTTTCAGCTGGGATAGAGTTCGTTTTCTTCTTACTAGCTGGTACAGTGTGACTTTTGGTTTTATTATGAGAATAATGTTGATAACTCACTGGTGTTTTAGTTGTTGCTGAACAGTGCTTACCCTAAGTCAAGGACTTTTAAGTATCTCATGCTCTGCCAGTAAGGAGGTGCACAAGAAGCAGGAAGGGAGCATGGCCAGGATAACTGACTCAAACAGGCCAAAGGGATATTCCATACCATAGAATGTTATGCTCAGTATGCAAACTGGGGAGACTTCGCCTTAAATGGCCAATCACTGTGCTTTCTCTCTCTCTCTCTCTCTATCTCTCCTTTTCACTACTACTACTACTATTATTATTATTATATTTTACTTTATTTAAATTAATAAAGTTTTCTTATCTCAACCCTCAAGTTTTACCTTTTACAATTCTCCTCCTCATCCCATGGGGTTCTGGGGGTGGTATGAGGAGAGTGAGTGAGCAACTGTGAAGTACTTAGTTGACAGCTCAGGTTAAATTACAACAGCTCTGTTACCTTCTGTTGCATTCAGACATTTCAGTGTAGGACTCGACAGGTTAAAGAAATAGAATGTAAAAATCTCTGCTTTCATCTATAGCAGATATTGAAACTTTATGATTCTGCACATATATGTAGTTGAAAAATAGAAAAATAAACACATTTTACAAATGTCAGAATTCATGAAGCTTAACTTACTTAACTGGAGTCTATAAGAATGATCAATACAGTTGTAGCTTTGATATCCACATAGGTGACACTATCTGACCTTTACTGCTACCACAAGGTGACAATGACCCTGTTTAGCAGTGCTAATTGCTAAACCCTTTTGTCATCAGTTTATTTTAAACTATTTTGATATTATATTTAATAAGTTATGTTTTCCCAATGTTGGGCTTAGAGAAAAAGGGACCCACAATTCTAAGAGTCATTTAAGTGTCTCAGCCGGGACTCATCTAACCAAATACATATGCAAATACACATCTAACCAAATACATATGCATCTATGCAAATACACATATCTGTCACCTTTAATTCCTTCTACGGATAAAGAGAGCAAACCTGAGAGCACAGTTTATCTCAGACAACTAAAACTGATCAAATAGATCACATCATGAGAATGGCTAACTTCTCCACTAATAATAAGGGGAACCCAGGCCAGCAAATTTATTGTAAATTTTACCCTTCTAGGAAAAAAGAATTCTGCCCCTGATTCTCCCATTAGTTCAAATGACTCGAAAAAGAACAAGGTATCCAAACACTTTTTAGGAGCTGTATTTCTGTCTTTGGGTTTAATATTTTCATATGGTGTAGTCCATCACAACAAAATACTTTTTGTTTTTCACCATAAGATATAAAATGTACATAGATTTATGTATCTGCTTTTGTCTGTACAGTAATAAAACCAGCCAGAGCTGGTTGTGTGGTGAGTCATCCCAGATTAGTGGTTCCAGACCATCACTACAGTCATGCTTGCAAGGTCAGCAGCTGTACTGTTTATTCTAGTAATCCAAGAAGGTTTCATATACAAAGCCACATATCTGCATGTTGATGGGGTAAAATTTTAATCTTAATATCTATCACTGCGTCCTAACAAAATTGGCTGTGAAAAAGTGAGGTAGTTTTTGGAACACACTTGTGCAGACACTGTATAACATAAGAATGGAGCAGACCTAGCTCTGCCCAGGGGGAAGAGCTTTTTTTCTGTCTTATGGTCAATAAAGTATACTTGTTTTCTATACCCTTTTCATTCAGATTGTCGTATTCTATTTACCAGGCAGCTCTTGCTTCTTCCTTTCCACCTGCTGTATAGTATTTCAGGAAGGAAAGTAGCAGTCTTTGGATCAGAATAGCTGGTCCTTTGGTGGACTGTGCTGGGTCTCTTTATACTTAACTGTGCAAAGGCTCACTGCAGTTGTTTAGGAGGCAAAGAAAAAACAGACTGTATTGACAGCATAAAGGCTGACAGATATTTGCAGTGCTTGTAGTATTTGTATACAGAAGTGTGGAACAATAATCTGCTTCAGCAGATGGAATGGGAAGTTTTTGAGGGTTTTTTTGGTTTTCTCAATTTCCATTGTACAGTTGAAGACTCATCCTGTCTCTAAAACTAAAAACATTTCTCAAGCGCTTTAAAATATTACACTATAAGGGTAGCATTTAAGAAACAAAGAGGAGAGAAAAACACGTCCAGATTGTACTGCAAATACCTAAATCGTCACATTTATTTTGGATATATACAAGGCCTGTGAATTTATTCCTGACTCATGTTGTTTAGCATAAATTCAAAACTGTCCTCAAGACATCACTCTGCCAGTTCTACTACTTCTTGATTTTGTTCAAAAATAAACTGTTTTTACCTGGTATTGTCTTGGAGGATTGTTTAAACTGTTTAAGTGAATTTCATCTGAGCTTCTTATACTTGACTGCTTCCTTTGACCAAGCTGAAATGGAAAGATTATTTATAATTCAAAATAAATAAAAGAAAAATACAGATATATCGTGTATATATTGTGTATACATACATCATGTGACAGAACACTAACTGTTAAGTTCAACTGGGAAATGTTAATTTATTGTGGTAATGTCCTTATACATGTACAGAATTTCATTACAAGAGTGAGAAAAAACACTTTCAGACTGTGTTGTAGTAAAGTGAGAACTGGTAGGTTTTCTCTATTTACTCTGCCTCTCACCTGCTCCTAACACGTCCAAGGGACCATAATAGAGTGGCCATGTCACTCTGGGCTTTATCCTGCTCCTCTGATGCACAGAAGGGGGAATCCACATCAGGAGGAAGGCAGTACTAGTGTGGCACAGCCTTGTAGGCAACCAATGAGGGAAGATCAGGGCAGATGTGTGAGAAGCCAAGGAAAGAGGGGTGGCAGCATTATCCCTTTCCTTTTTTTTTCATAACACTTGCCTGTAATTAATGTGACCTCCGCTACCACAAAATACTCAAGGAGTTTGCTTCTCCCCTCACTGTCTGAATGTAATTGCTTATGCAGTTCACACCAGGGACAACGAGATTATCAGCTGACATTTTTGAGTTGCATCTTCTTTGCTACACATGCTGAAAGAGCATAAATCCCTGATGAAACATGGAGGATGCAATCTGTAGGCTTCATTACTGATTTACATCTTTGAGAAGGACTAAAGAATCACAAAATGGTGAACTGAGACTCAAGTTGAATGACCGGGCTGCAGTAAGAGTGAACAGCAACTGTCAAAACAAATATTATTACTTTACATAAATAACAGGGCCAGTTCAACAACTAGTGCTAGAAACATAAACATTGTGAAATATAAATACTGATTGATCTTGGTGAGGAATAAGTGGGACTGAGAAAGTCTGAAATTTTACATGGTCCAATAAAATTTTTACGATTTTAACGGACCAGACAATCATTGCAGTGTCTCAGATCCTGTGGGATTTTGTTGTACTTCCAGTAAAATTCTCTATGTTGTGTCTCAACACATAGAGCACCTACAGATAAGCAAACTGGAGCATTTTGAAGCCTGTTAAGTACTATGTGGGATATGCTGGGATATAATTCATTACAGAGGAAAGCAGGGAAGGGTTAGATGCTTATGCAGTTGTACACTGGGAATAATTTAAATACTTTTAGATTTTGTTTAGCATTTCATAGAATCAAAGAATGGTTTGTTTTGGAATGGATATTCAAAGACCATGTAGTCCAGCTCCTCTGCCATGGGCAGGGACACCTTCCACTAGATCAGGTTTGTATTTTGATATTTTTTCCTGAAGAAAAGTTCATACCTTTTGGTAAAAAACATTTATTTGCAATTAATATAAAGTTTACAATGAACTTGGATTGTTTCTTTGGAAAGATTCACAAATTTTATGCACATTCTTGTGAAAAACATCTCTCTATTCAGACTATGTTTATTTGACTAAGTAAAAATAATGACAGAAGATATATAACAGTATAAATATAAAATAATTGATATTTGTCTCTTACATATTAATCTACATTTGGATGGAAATTAAATAGAATATGTATAAAAAAGGCAAGTTATTGTTTCTTTTTCTTGTTTGAATAAAGCTACTTTAAATGTTTTGAATACATATTAGAAAACATAAGTTTATCTAAACATTGATACTTAAACTAGGTATCTGATTTATGATAAAAAGGAATGGCTAGTGAGTTTACACAACTGTTTAATCACTATGTCTTTCAGGATTTTAGAACTATTAATACAGTCTTGGGTCTCACGTTTACTACTAGGTTAAAAGAGAAAAACAATCTTCCTGCTATTTCATCCCCTGGACTTCTCATGCACCATTTTTAGAAATAATATAGTAAAATAAGAGGAAAAGCATGCATTCATTGCTGTAGCAGAGGGAAGTTTCTTTGGGTAAAGCTGCCCTAGTCCATGAGCTTGGGCTACAGATGTGTGACTGGTGTCCCAGCACTCCTAGATCTCTGATTTGCAGCTGCGATATCATTCATGATCCTGTTATTTACCAGTTTATGTATAATCTACAGATTCATTTATTTTTTATAAATTTTTAGTATTTACTATGTATTTTATTATATATTTTAAAAGTAATCTGTCATGCTGGTTACCAGTCTCAAATTTATATTACACTGGTTCACTTCAAAAGTTAATCAAATGCTTAAGTACAACTTGATTTTCACTTGAAATAGCAAAACTGGTATTATGTGGCAAAATCAGTTGAGACACCACAAATTTGTAAAATCAGACACATTATAACAAATTTATCTTGACTTTTACCCTTCAGCACTTTTTTTGGACAGAATAATGTACTTAGCTAGAGAGTGCACCTTAAAGTTGGCAGGTAAATCATAAGTGTGTAACTTTATTAAAACTCTTTATATGCAACACTAACAGGACAGAATATCTACTGTGCGTTGCCGAATGACCACTTGGTGGCAGAGATTGCCAAGATTTCATCATAATGTCAAATAACATTTTTAAATTCTCTTTAGTTTTCATGTCTATGGCTTTTTTCTTTCCCCAAAATTACTACTAGAGTACATTGAGATTGTCATACTGATAACTGAACTAGAATTCGTATTTTCAAGTTAACATTTTTTGAACATGAGTGATCAGAGGGGAAATAATGTAAATTAAATAAAACAATGATACAACCCCCCCAAAATAACTCTTCTCCAAGAGTATTTTATGATTTCAGAGGTCCCTTCCAAGCCAGCTGATTCTATGATTCTATGCAGCACATATCTTAGAAAACACCTTTGTCTTTAAACTTTCTTCTCATTTTATTATTCTCTAGTTTTACTTAAAATTGAATGTAATCAGAATAGTAATGTAATTATTGTAGTTGTTTTGTTTACCACTCTGTTAATGTCTTAAATCCCAATTTTCAGAAGCAGGTGATGATTTGGAATGCAAAAATGCTTGGACCAGAAGGGAGGGTTCAGAGTAAATCACTAGTTTGTGCTCCCATAACCAAAGGCCACCCATGAACATTCCAGAAACATTGTTTTGCACTAGGAGAGTAAAAGTTGACATATTTTTCTTATTTGGATGGAGGTTTAAAGCGGTTTCAATAAATAGTTTTCCCTCAATTTTTTTCTGAAGGGCCATGTTTCAAGAACAAGGCTTAAATACATCATCTGCAACTACTGTTTTTTAGCTCAGGAAGATGAAGAATTTCTGTGACTCTTAAACAATAAACTTTCTCAATTGCAAGGCAATTTTAAAATTTAGAATAAAAATCAAAGGACGTTTCTTTAAAACTTTCTTTTTCCTTCATTTATTTCTCCCCTTTTTTGGTTTGAGTTTGTTGTTCACTTTATGTTTAAAACTCCAATTCTAGCCTGAAACAAGAAATCTACAAGTTTTAATCAACAGCCTAAAAGAAAACATCTTCACAGCTTTTAGTATTATATGCAGATATGTCTCAAGAAATTAACTTCTGGTGTGGTACACTTTGAACACAGCTATGTAAATTACTTGCTGTTTAGCACTGACAGCATCTGGCTTTGTTTTCTGCCAACAATAATCAGGGCAGAGCTGGCTCTAGGAGTAGAATTTCCCCCCTTCCAATCCTAATCCCTGTCTTCATGCTCACCCTGAAGCTGCTGGCGTTTTTGCACTGAGAAGGTGCTGGCTGTGCAGCAGAAAGACCCACAGGCTGGATCTGAATCAGTAAACTCAAGTGTGTGTTAACATTATTGGGCCCTGCAATGCAATGTCTTCTATCAATAAACTTTTACTCTCCTCCAGGTAGGACTTGCCTCAGAACAACTTTCTACCTTCCTAGGCATGGTTTGGCAACAGGAACGGTCTGACGACAAGAGCTTGCAGCAGCCCTTTGCAAGGAAAACTACTTAAACAGGGGCAAGCCATTCCCGAATTGGCCTCAATGCCTAGATAAGCTACGCTTCACATTTCACTAGCACAAACACAGCCATTAAGTCTGGGGTCTTGGGTCTGATCTTGTCAAATCTTTTCTTATCTTTGCACAGCTCATTGCATTTGTTGTAGCTCCTTGCTCAGCAGTCACAGCAGCACCAACACACTCAGCACTGAATGAGTCCCAAGTCAAAATCCAAAAGCCTGAGAATGCCTTTGAAAAGATGCCATAAACTGGCCTCAACAATAACGAATTAACAACAGTGGGTCAAAAAGTAACACAAAAGCATTTTAGTTACTTTTTAGAAGTGCACAGGATGGCAGTATCTCAGATTCAGACAAAGTCATCTCCACAGCATGCAGTGGTACAAAAAGCAAGTAAAAATGTAATCATCTGGCAATAGCAGTCACCCTGCTGCAAAAGCTGGTGAACGAATAAATGTAACTCAGATGCTTTATGTTTTTCAACCTAAAAGCTTTTTTTTTTTTAATTTGATTTGCAGTTTTATAGCTGCTTTGGCTGGAGAGTAAGCACATTTCATTTAGGATTAATTACACTAAAACCTGCAGTGAGTGTAAAGCATTAATATTTGAAGACTAAAATTTAATTCAGGTCTAGGAAAAAATCTGATAAACGATGTTTACATCCTTACAGCTCTATTTCAGAGGGACTGCCGTAAAAGCCAATACACCTGTTACTGTTTTATCTAGAACTGGTAATTATTACACTTTGCACCCTTCTAGCAATCTGAATTACTAGATTCAAAAGGAGTGATAAAAATACAGCTTCTTTCCTTAGGGTGTATAAGTGAGATTTTTAAGAGTACCTGTTTTAAAGAACATAAATTTCATGCTAAAAAGTCACTAAAACAAGCATTTAACTTACTTATATGATTTTCAAAGTCACAAGTGAATTAGAAAAGAACCATTTGTTGTTTCTCACCATCACTCAATTTTAAGTTTATATGCATCTCCTTATTTGCATGATTTTTCGGTGATGACTTTATCACTCACAGAGGTTTTAAAATCAAGTTTTGTAAATGTCAGTCATTAAAAACCTGAGCAAATGAAGTATCGCCCCTGTCAGGTCTTAAATACATTAGGATTAGTTTTCCCAAGTAAAATGAAGTGAGATCTGTGAGATACTAGAAAAATTACCAATAGTACACATGAGACATTTGAAGTTAACTATTTTGACTTTGGTAACAGTGTTTGTAATACCTGTGTTTGTTTTCATAATGGCTAATGACTCTTGACTACAGACTCAAGAACTTGTAACCTTGAACAGGTCTCTGCTCAGACTACCGTACATTTTAACAAAGATCCTTCCACATTTGAATTTCCATAGAAGACATTTTTTTTCTGCTACCATGACAAATTCTAACCTTCTTTTTCTTTGCATGCTCACCCTTCCACTTGCTACATCTGATCAACTGTCTTGCATGGCTCTTTTTCCCTAACATGTTACAATAGTGCTAGAATAGTGCTAGTCTTTAAATTTCCAATATCACCTAACATTCCATATTCTCCTAAAGCAATTACTTTGGTTTATGCCAAGACAGTGCAGGAAAAATACACTGACTACAACCTCCTTAAGCAAGCCCAGTGAATCGACTCAAGCTCTTTTTACTTCACTCATGTAAATAAAACAGATAAAAAAATACTTTACGATAAAATAGGCTGCATTTTCCGTGGAAGCAGAGACAGGTTATCAAGGGGAATTTAGAAACTGTCCAGGCATGTGAGTGTGGTGTTAGGAAAGACAAAGCTTGTCTTATAAGAAGAACTTCTACTGTTACAATAACAAAGAGAACAAGGAGAATGTGGGCCCGTTGTTTAGTGGGAAAGCAGATTTAAGTGGCAGTGGATGATGGTAAGATTGAGGGAATTGATGCCTTCTTTGCCTCAGGCTTCAGCAACAGTCTCTCAGGCCTCTGTGCTCAGTGAAGGGATTCTAGGAGACAGGGCTTACTTGAGAGAACTTGACCCAGGCAAGTCCCTTGGACCCAAAAGGCTGCATCCACAGGTACTGAGAGAGCAGATGAACCCCTTGCAAATACGGAATCATCTCTGAAAAAACATGGATATTGGGAGAGGTCCCAAAAGGCTGAAGAAAGACAAATGTCAAACCCATCTTCAAAAAAGGTCAAAATTATGATCTCAGCAAACATGGGCACTCAACCTCCCTTCTGTCACTGGTAAAAAATTGGAATGAATAACAAATCCTCTTGGAGTATGTAAAAGGACAGATGGTGAATGGAAAAAGTAGGTGTGAATTTATGAAAAGTAAAATCTGTCTGACCATCTAGACAGCATTCTGAGATAAAATGACTTGCAGATAAAGGGAGAGCTGTAGATGTCTTCTGACCTGACTTTAGCAAGGCTTTTAACTCTGTATTCTAGAATGTTCTTGCACCCCTGGATGAAGTATATTGGGAAATTCATGAATAAAACAGGGCAACAACAAAAATGAAGTTAAAATTATTTTTATGTTTTAAAATCAGAAGTCAATATATACATGACAAAATTACCTTGTTCATCTCCGCATCTTCCTGAAAGTTTTTCTTTTGGCACAGAAATGGTTTAGAAATACATTTTTTGATTCTGATTAGGAGATACAGCAAAGATTTTGGGCTTGGTACTAAGTTGAAGGGTACTGGAAGAGTTCTCCCTTCTTCAAAGTAAGAAAACCAAAGTTTAGCCCTTGCAAATTTCCATTCTACATCAGCATCATCCTGTAAAATGGAAACACAGCTGTTAATACACTGTTAATACCACTTTGACTATTAAAGATGGTCTAGCTAAACTTTATGTGTGTTCTGAATGTAATGGCTGAAGTTAATCTCTAACACATCAAGAACTTGCTTATGATCCATGAAAATCAAATTTCAGTGAATGGAATTGTTCTTAATAATCCATTTAAAATAATGCAATTACAGAAGAACAGAATGGATTTAATTTAAACATTGCTTACTCCAGGGTCAGTGCAAATAGTCTGCAATATATGATTACAATGAGAGACCCTGCTAATAGTCTACAGACACTATTACTCTATTACTTTAAACATGAAGTTAAAAAAGATTAGATGATTCTTAGATAATTCCTTCTACTTGCTGGAATATATGATTAAACCAGATATGCTACCATCACCATGGTTTATGTTTAACATTTAAGATCATCAAAACAATCACTTTATTCCACTCTGCAAAGTTTAAGAGGGTTTTCTGCAGAAAGGAGTGACATCATGTCCAAGAACATAACTCGTTATTGCTGTGCCTGTTTTTAGAAGCTGTTTTTATCCAGTCAGCATATTTTTGGATAAGAGACTGATTTTTAATGCTCTAAACCTGATAGGTTTGCTCTGTGTCTTCCCAAGTCAGAAGAATATGAACCTCCCTAGAGAATGCACTGCTCTTGCTCAAGTCAGACAATGCTACGGCCCCAAACCAGAGCCTAGAACAGGGGACCAGAGCGGTGTGAAACCTGAACATGCAGTTGTGTGGCAAGGGTGTCTGGGAAGGTCTGAGATGGCCTAGCTCCTGGAGATCTGCTTCCTTTTTTTCAAAACAATGATAATGATTTAGCCCTCTGTTTTCCATGGCATGCAAAATTCATGCTGATTTTCAGTAGCCCTGCTGATTTCTTTGTCAAGTAAAGTTTTGTTCACTGCAGAGGTCTAGAGCAACAGTTATTTAATGAAAGAAGAACACAGCATGTTAGAGACATGCTCGCAAGGCCAAGGTGTAGGAATGTGAACATCCTTGCAGCAAGAGGGACATTTCTCTAATAATTACAAATGAGACAAGTGAAAAATTCACAAAGTCACACCATGTAGCCATCCTCTTCAGGAACATAATGGAGTTCAGCAACACTTTCTTGTTCCAGTTTGATTCTTACTAATGCAATCACAGGTAACTTCCATTTATTTTATAACAAAAATGTACAGTGGAATTAGTATTTTCTCCTAATATATTCCAAAAGCCTATGTGTTACTTTTCTTAAACAATATGTCAACAAGAAAATTTTCCGAGAGATTTATACAATTATTTGTAACAGTAAATATGGTGATACTTCATCATAAAATCAGTTTTTACCTCAATTTCCTGGAATGAACTGTTGATCATTGCAATAAGCATGTTCAGTAAGACGATGACCATGGTAACATTATAGACTCCATAAAGGACATAACCAATATTTTCAATAAATTTGTGTTTATAATTGATGACAACCGATTTAACTTCTGAGAGTCCAAATATAGCCCAGAACAATGTTTTGAAACTTTCTTCAACACTAAAAGGAGAAATCGAACACATGGATACAATACTGAAGAAAAGCTGTATATTCTTATTATATAAATTGCCAGTTACCATTTTTATATGGTGTACAAATTTTTCCATTATCATAATGCAGAACTCTACCACAGTGCATAACAGTAGACTGTCTAATTTCATGCATACAGGCTGTTTCACAATACAAGATGCCTAAAACTTAGGACTGACAATAAAACCATCTGATTCAGTTTAGGAATTATATACCCATGCTTGAAAGAACGTCACGATGATTTACTTGTTAACTAATCTACATGCTACAGCCTGCTGAATGTAAATTAATGTAAATAAAAAATAATTAACCTGTAAATTATTTAAATTGCATCATTAGTTCACTTTGTATGAATTATTTCACCATTATTATGACAAACATTCTGAAACTGTGAGAAGACAGGATGTCTGAGGGCAATTCATCAATTTTCAAAGAAATGAGTCTCGCAGACCATAATCTTCCAGCTGAATTTTTGCTATTACACAATTTCAGTGTAAAACCATGGTGTGGGCATACTGATTTTTTTTCAAGTTAGTTCACTTAAATACATGTATTTCCTCTTAATCAGTTTATACATATATAGAAGTCCAAATCTCTGAGGTATTTTTCCTGTCTATCTCCATCTGTTTGAAGACATATTTTCCCTTGTTTTATTAAGGAGATCTCAGTTGCCCGTGTCCAAAATGTAGTAGCATTGCAAAGCACATTTTGTATTTCATTGCTTTATTGTTAAGAAAAAAAACTACATTTTAATCAGTTGTACTTACGTTGTGAATGCTTCATTTTGTTTTGCCCCCAGATAGTAGGAATAGAGGTTAAACATGCCGATCATGAAAGCTACAAACACCATGATAAATATCACCATAAACTTGAAGATGTCTTTCACGGTTCTGCCAAGTGATATCTGCAGTGGTCCAAAGCTTTCATTAGCCGGTAAGATGTAGGCTATTCTTGAGAAACTTAACACAACTGCAATTGCATACAGCCCTTCAGATATGATCTGAGGATCGGACGGATCCCAGTTTATTCTGGCTAGGAACAAAAGATGAGAACTGTCATTATTTCAAGATAACTGTATGCATCTGTGCGGGGGTCTTTTTGGAACACAAGTCAGAACAGCAATTGGAACAACATCTCAGGCACATGGTGTGACTCTTGTGGATGTCCTCTGTAGGGCTAAGATTTGGACTTGATGACCCTTGTGAGTCCCTTCCAACTCAGGATATTCTGTGATTTCAAGGTGAGGGAAGAAACCCATGGCAACTCAAACAGCACTAGTCACTTAGGTTTTAGCTGACTGAAGTGAGCCATGTAACTAACTCTAAAACCTTTCCACAGTTCCACTGACTACATTCATTAGATCACCAGTGATCATAAAGGTGGACCGTAAGATCACTGAGGTAACTTTTTGGGAGTTGAGTCCTCGACTATAATAGAATTTAAGTAAAATTCAGCTTACAGTGTCAGGTGATGACAACTGAGCTGTGACAAAATGAACTGTTTTGATATGGGGATCTAAATTAATTAAATGGCCTTCACAATTCCAAAACTACATGAACAATAATATTTCTATATCTTTTCTACTTTATTGTCTTACTTATAATGAAATTGTAGTGGTCATTTCCCAGCAAACACCAAACACCCATTTCCATCACCTTTTCTATCATCATTTCTATCAGTATCTTCTGCTGAAGCTAATGTACTCATGAATTACTTGAATGTCTTTTAATGGGGAACATGACACATTCAACTGCAGAGAGGAACATTTAAGTTCAAACTTTTACTTAAATAAATATTTACAGAAAAGTGTCAGAGAAGAAGACCAAAGCAATACCCTTCAGAATACTTCCTTGCTGTAAGTCAAGGCATTCTCTCATGATGTGGCAGGTTTAAATTCATTCACTATTGTGCTTCAGACAAAGAGAAGAGGTTAACCTGGGATGTGTTACCTATGTCCCAGGAGAGTGTTGTTATCTGTGTCTACTTTACTGTAAAGGCCCTTCTCTCCAACATGTTCACATCTCTCTTGTACTGGAGAGCCCAGAACTGGACATAGCATTCCAGTTGTGGACTCACCAGTGCTGAGTAGAGGGGCAGGATCATCTCCCTCCTTCTGCTGTCCATGCTCCTCCTAACGCAACCCAGAATACCATTGGCCTTCTTTGCCACAGGGGCCCACTGTTGGCTCATGTTCAACCTGGTGCCCATCAAGTTATGTTTGCTACCCTATGAAAAAAACTGTGGCACTAAATAACATTATCCATGTTGGCACTACCAGTCATAGGTGTTCTCCAACCAGGTTTCAGTGTACAGGCATCCACTAAAAAATGTATCAACTGTTCTTCAGGGCATAACAAAGTCACAACCCATGACTGATATGAATGGAAAGTGCCTTCCTAAATGATGCAGTATTGTGTAGCATAAATGAGTTACAAGACTTGTGTTTGTCATAGCAGACACTGTGAACATAAACAACAGTCTCTGTTTGCACATTCTTCAAGTGTGTGTTTCTGAAAACTGAATTAATATTTAACCAGCTGCTTTTAGGACTTACGTGAAATCTGTAACTTTCCAGTAAAATTTGTCAGACTTACAATTCAATGTGTTTCAGAATCTATATATTAATTGCTCTGCTTTTCTACAGCCTGGAAAATGCAGAAATGTAACCTTAAGAGAAATAGTATCTGAGGCACAGAACAGATAAAGAAACTGATGTAGTTCAACATCTAGAAAAAAAAAATTTAATAACAGTAAGAGAGATGTGGTGATGTTGAGAGCGAACACTAATCAACAGAGTTTAATTTTTTCTCATTCAGGCAAAATAGCTTCTAGTCACTTCTCATATATGCGAAGCAAGTTTATTAACATTTTTCATCTCTTGTTGGTAAAGAGAGTGGATTGAAAAATATTAAACCAATACAACAGAGTCTCTGAAAAAATAATATATAAAAGACATATTGGTTATTTTGACATAGAATGTTTAAGAAGTTCATGCATCTCATTGCTTAGTTTTGTCCCCACATTACAGTAGATTCAATTCACAGCTGCACCAACACAGATTGGTTTGCAGACAGTGTTGTGTAATTGAATAGATTAAAATAATCTAGAAAAGGGGTGGGATGACAGTAAGGTTATTTTGATCTTAGATCATTTTAGTGCCTGCTGTTTAGAACACTCCCCAAAAGATGCATGAGCACAGCCAACAGAACTGTGATCAAATAGTAGAATCACAGAATCATAGAATATGCCAAGTTGGAAGGGACCCATCAGGATCATTGAGTCCAAATCCTGGCCCTGTGCAGGACACCCCATGAATCCCACCATGTGCCTGAGAATGTTGTCCAAATACTTCTTGAATCCAGACAGGCTTGGTGCTATGACCACTTCCCCGGGGAGCCTGTTCCAATGCTCAACCACTCTCTGGGTAAAAACCCTTTTCCTGATATTTAACCTAAACCTTCCCTGACTCAGCTTCATGCCATTCCCTTGAGTCCTGTCGCTGGTCATGAGAGTGAAGAGATTGGTACCTGCCCCTCTGCATCCCCTCACGAGGGTGTTGTAGACTGCAATGAGGTCTCCCCTCAGTCTCCTCTTCTCCAGGCTGAACAAACCAAGTGACTTCAGCTGCTCCTCATATGGCTTCCCCTCCACACCCCTCACCATCCTTGTGACCCTCCTTTGGACAGTCTCTAATATTTTAGTGTCTTTTTTATAATGTGGTGCACAAAACTGCACACAGTACTCCAGGTGAGGCCACACCAGTACAGAGTGGACTGGGACAATCACTTCGGTGATACTATGCTTATGCATCCGAGGACATGGATGTCTCTCCTGGCTGCCAGGCCACTGCTGACTCATATTCAATTTACCATAAGGTTGAGAAGGAGAAGGTGTGGGAATTTCTTTAGTAGTACATTGTGGAACTATGGTATTGGAGACTTATTTACTGAAAAATCAGTTCATCTTGGCCCCAGAAGTAAATCTTAACCATGTTCAATCAACTCACCCAAGGTGTAGTATTTTATGCTGGGGTCCAGTGTTGGACTAGTCAGATCTTTCATATGTGCATCCACGAAGTTCTGGGCTCTGGACGCATGCCAAAATGCCATAAACCTTGCTATGAATGATGCTGCAAAAATTGCTAACATACCAAAATCAAGCATATTCCATAACTCAAAAAGGTATTCCTTTGGACCTTGAGACCAAATTTCTTTACATTCAGACCATATCATGCCTGTTTAAGACAGAACAGAAAAAACAATGTGTTCTTTTATCTTCACAATTGTTTTATTTTATATTTTTATTATATATAGAACATGCTCTTGGTTGCAGTCAAACTCAAAACAATTTTGATCAGTGGGAATTCAAACACAAAATAAAATCCTTGAATCTGAAAATTCATATACATTTCAAGACTTCTTCTCATGCAAGTAATAATAGCAATCTTTCAGAATTCTTTTTCCTGTACAACTATAAAAGTTTTCAAAGAGAGGAATGGGATGTGAGTATTACCATCTGTTACAGACACAGGAAGAGATGGAAAGAGCAGAAATGCTCTGGTGTGATCTGTGGTAGAGCTAATAGAGAAACTCAGATTTTCTTATTTTTGGAGAAAATCTTTTTTCATATAAAAATATAAACTACACTTCCAGGATTTTAAAAAGAGTCTTTAATAAAAAGCTGAATGGAATACTTCTTTCACTTATCAAATTGTCTGAAGGAACTTTTCATAATTTTCAGATAAGGACAATAATAATGTCAATTGCAGTAACTACATTCAGTGTTACGTCTGTATGCACCGAATCAATTTTTCATAAACCGTCTTATGCATGACACTGAAATAAATAAAAACGAAAATAGATTAAATTACCAAACTGGAACTTCAAATTAAGAAACTATTATTTCCTTCTTTTTTATCAGATGAAAATATTGATATTTATAGACTTAAGAAATCTAAGTGCTATATTATCCCTATAATACACAACTATATTAATTTATAAATAGCTTTGCTATTAAATAAATAAAGGCTGCCAATGTCTTTTAAAGCTATAAGAATCAGTTGGTGTACAAATATCAATCAAAGAGACATCATAAAAGCAAAATATTTTAAATGTGTAAGCTCTTGTAAGGAAAGATACTTAGCTTGAATTTAACTTTCACACATTACTGTCTTAAGTAACAGCCAGAATCCAGACCCTTAAAATATTTGAGCATGTAACCCTCACTGGATTAAAAGGTATTAGACTTGTAAATGAGAATCTGACAGCCAAAATATTTTGGAGGGCCTGAACTCAAGTTCTGATGCTGAATAGTACTACATCACTGAATTCAGTGGGTCAGCTCAGAGTACTACTCATAGCATTCATGTCATCCCTATGTTGGGATGAGAAAATCTACTGCCAAATGTTCAGGGGTCTATATTCTTCTCTTTTGTCAATAATACATTCAGTTAAATACTGTTAGTTCTGCAGACATACTTGTAAAAAAAGAGAATCTTAGCAGAAAGAGACAATTTGACACAAAAAAATTTGGCCCATCATGTGCAAATCTTTCCCCTTTGTAGTTGACGCAGTGTGACTCAAAACCCCCAGAAAACTGGTAGACACTTTGCTTTGTTATTTGTAAAACTGAATTCATGTAAATGTAGATTTCAGGATGATGTAGATTTCACCTAAATCCTTAATCTGAATGTGATCAGCTGGGAACATGTGAATCCTGATGACATCCAGCATAAAACATGAGGACCATGTGGGAATGCAGACAACTGAATAAACTCCCTTTGTCACAATTTTTACACAAAACATTGATAGCAGAGGATTTCATTTAGTTCAGCTTCACTTGAAATCATAGCAAGACAAATTTAAGCAAAATTTTTTACCTATTACCCAAGAAATAATGAGCATCTCCATCCATGTGAAACATGATGTTTTCATCCTAAACAGCTGTTTTACATTGTCTGTTGTTTCATTAGGTCGGAGTTTGGTGCCATCAAACCTGTCAGCTGCATTCATGACAAGCAGACCAAGAAAAATGGTGAAAGAGGCTGCATGGGCTACAAACTTCATAAATGGTCCACGCATTATCCTCCCCAGCTGCAACAGAGATTATGAAACACAAAGATATTGCATTGACTTCTTCCAAAACAAAAAAATATATAAAAAGAGCAGTAACACAGAAAGTCATATATTTCAATAATGCAAAGGAACAAATATTTAGAAAAATTTGCGTACTATGATGCCGTGTTGACTGTTGCTTTTAGAAGTTTCTATCAATGTAGAGTCTTAATTTCCTCCTGACTACTACAATGGAAAAGTTTTCAGCTTTGTCATGACTAAGAACAACTTTAAAATGGTTTAGTGCAACACTTCAAAAACCTGAAAGTTCCATACAAATTCACACAAGGTTGAACTTCTAGGAATTATTTACTTTATTTTAGAGAGTGGCTGTATTAATATTAAAAGTCTTAGCTTTTCCACTTAGTTGGAAGCTGCAGAAAAATACTTTTTCATTTTTGACTAAGAGTGTGCTTGTATCTAAAAAAATTGCTTGGAAATGATTGAAAGCAAGTGTTACAGATCTCAGCTAAAACATATAACAATCTGTGGTCTGGAAAAAGTAGGTGGAAACAGAGAGGTATGTTACCGGTACTCATTTTTGCTGCAGAAAATCAGAATTTTGCAGTCAACTTTTACAGAAACATGAATAAGAGGATGGAGCTAAGGATGCAATGGTAAGGTCTCAAATACAAATCACTTCAGGAAGACTAGACAAATGTAAATATAAGATACTGTTAAAGGAACACTGTCAAGATTAGCAGGCATAAGATTTGTAATATTACTTTTCAAATCCATGCCATTTATTATGTTTCTCACTCCATTAAATTAATTTCTCTTTTATTAAATAAAACAGTCTGTCAGCCTCATGAGATGAATTTCAACAACCAATTATTTTGCATGAACTACAAAGAGAACAGGTAATTGTCATGGGGAAAAATTTTATTTCAAGCTAGGAAGATACAGTCATAAACAACATACAATAAAGCAGAGATGGAAAACGATAAAGTACCTTGACAGTGTCCTTTTAAATGCATTATTCTTGTATTCACAAATAAAGATGAGTTAGGAGACAGTTGCCAGAGAGAGACATAACCAGAAAAGAAGAAAAAATACTGAAGTAGGTTAATGTTAATATATCCCTTGATCAAAAAACATAAAATTTAAGAGAGTGAATTCCTAACACCCCACCTCCTGTCCCTTTTAAAGAAACAGAAAAGTATTTTTTGCATATATATAGCAAAATCTCTCTAGAAGCAGAATTTTGGTTGAAGTGATTACAAAACTGCTGGAAGTTATTATGACACTGCTATATAACAATGATCCAGTGAAATTTTGAAATTACACTTCTAAATTTCTGAATTTCTTTATGGAGAAGATATAGGTCAGAAAATATGAACTGGGATGAAAAAAGCAGCATCTAAAGCCAAGGCCATAATCTTGCAACTCCAGACTTTTCCATGAACTAGAATCTCCCTCATACACTTTCACTGCGCATTTTGATGTAATAAATTTCCTTCCCCTGCACTTCCAAGGACATGATTTTCTAAGTGCTCTGAATCTCTCTGTGTTTTAAGTGATCTGGAGGTTTGGTTTGGGTTCTTTTATGGATTCTGATACTCTATACTATTTTTTTTGGTTTGCTATGGAGTTTTGGAGAGTGTTTTATATGTTGTTTTGGGTTAGGACAAGATATACAATAGTTACATGGTGGACACTGACACTTATTTGTCCATATAGAGGGTCACCTGTAATTGCTGGGGTCTGTAGTAAGTGATTCACATTATTCCCCACTTGTAACTGCAGAAACAATTAGTATTGTAATATTATGGAGTATGGCATTGATAAAGAAATTATAAAATGGGACTCCAGATAGCACAGCTATTGCAAAGGAGAAAAGGTCTGATTAAAAAAACCCACCTAGATTATGCATATACTTTTTTAGTAATAACAATTTTCTAGCTCCTCATATACTGGACACAATGTTCAATTTTTTTTCCTCTACCACAATGCAAAAGAGGTATGTGTATAACTCTCAGAACAAGTTTCTAGGAAGCATTTAGGAATTTTTCAAGTTACTTCTTTAGAAATGCCAGCCTTAGGTGACTGGGAACAGCAAAAGGTGACTCAGTTTCAAATGTAGATCCTTCATCTTGGCCAGAGGTGAGTTCATAAAGCTAAAAATCTAAATCCTATTACTACAGCTGAACAGCAGAGACATTAGAGATTCTTGCAGATAACTGAAAAAAGGTTTTAATCTTTCATGTCATGTAATAAAATATTATTCTGGAAATTTGTGTTAATGATGTCAGTAGTTACACTGAATTAACAATTAGAAATGCAGAGCAAAGAGTTTACAAAATTTTGAAATGTCTCTGCGAGGATCAATGGCTGAAATTCAAATAAGAGGCAATCTTAACGCCTTTTGGTATCTGACAGTCGTGAATTCCTTCCAAATCAACAGGACTGACCACATATTTACATTAAATTTTTTTCACATCTGAAACTTTCAATTCAAACCTTCAGTCTGTGGTCCAAACTCAAATTAACTTTTTCCCAAGGAGGAAGCTGGTCAGTATTACAGGTAACTGACTGAGATGTTGCAAAAGTCATAAACACATTTTTGCCTTTCTCAGAGCCGTGACATGAGAATATAAAGAAATGTGTCAGAACTCCACTGTAAGTTGTTATTTTCACCAGAAATACTGTGAACATTTTCTCTCTCTTCTGTCACTGTGCCTTATACTGCCAAACCTGGAAAAAGAATCTGTACTTTATCTCGGTAGGAAGAGAAGACGTAAAATTCCATCAATTCATACACAGAATGGACTCTTGATAAAGAAGATGTTCTATATTGGAGCCATCCTATCTTGAGACTATACACTGAAAATTTTTGTCTTCAAAAACCAGATTAAACTTCTGAAGTATAAGTGAAGCATAGAGTATTAAATTTCAACTGGTGAAAAAGGTAGATTAGATTTTATATTTGCAGAATACAATGAAAAAAAGCATTCAAATCACATGACCAGTTGATTAAATAGTGACAGAATTGAAATTTAATGAATGTTGTTACTTGTGCCTTGACTTTAAAAGCTACTCTGAAATATATTTTTCAGAATGTACAATGGTTCAAATTTAGTTTAAGATTCAATATATCATTGAAAATGGAAAATGACAAATAGGTAAGTCACTGCTATAGCAGAAAATCAATTAATGAAGTGTGTTGAATCTCAAGGAGTGTCTTAAGAAATAAGTATTCATAAAAACCCGGTCACTATACAGAAAAGTGAAAATAATATAGCTGATTTTTATTGCCCAGACTGAAAGAAATGAAAAAATATGGCAAAACAAAAAAGGCCCACTTTTCTCCTCCAGAGAACAACAAAAACAACTCCCACCATGACCTCAATCCTCTCTTTCAATCTTCCTCTTCCCCTGAAATCGTGGCATGTGCAAAGGATTTGACCTGTTAGAGTTGGGGATATTATACTGCAACATGGTGAACTATCCTTATAGGATGCCATTTTTTCCCTCTAACATACTTTGAAGGGAAATTTGCCATCAGTGTCCATTCAAAATGGATAATGACCAACTCAAACAGAGACTCAACACAAAGTTCAGTGAGGTCAGAGATTGTCACCCAGTTCAGACAGTGCATTGTAAATCAGTGTAGGGGAGATTGTGTGACTACTTTGGACTCCTCATGAAATATGATGTGTATTAGCACTATCTTGTCAAGCCAACACAGTTAATTTTGACTTCTAGAAAAGTGATGATTGTTTTAGTTTCTGACATTCATATTTCAGTGACTTTTATCTATTTATTTTTCATCATGAAAAATAAAATTGCCTTTGAGTTAATTGGAATCAACCCCCTGCTTGAACTTAGTCTAAATCTGAAACAATGGAAAAAGAGTATCCTTGGTATTTGCCTATAGAGGCAAGAACTAAACGATAACAATTTGACTCATTGTTTCTAAAGCAGAATTTCTACAAAGCAACTCTTGCTCAACTATTGTAACTTAATTTAATATATATTACATTTAACACAACACATATACCTGTCTTAATTACAGTTGCCTGAACGTGCAGTCTTGCAGCCATTCCATTCTAACTTGGCTTTAAAATAACTTCTATTGTTTAAGCATGTCTTTGTCAGACAGGAATCTACGTATAGATGATACAGGAGTTAATAAAAAGCCATTACAAGATTTCACAGACTGACCTTACTGCAAGGAGCAATCCAGTAAGCCATTGAAAGGAAGGGTAGTCCTATTGCAACAGCAAGAACAACCAGAAACTTCACTGCCATGGTCTGCTGCCGTAAACCTGATAAATTTTCATACCAAATTGAGAGAAGTTGTTGCTGGCAGTTTGGATGTGCTACAAACTATAATAAAGAAAAAGAGCACAAAAATAATATTGCTATCAGAATAACCTTTATTAAAATACAGCTATATGAAGCACATTAAGAATTCTGGAATAGCAACAACTCAGGAGAATTGTTCAAAAGAGAACTAACAAGGTCATAAGAAAAACTATTTGACAGGCCAAATTTCCCAGCAAACAGACGTGTTGCCATCAGCAACAATAAATACATTAATTTAAAAAACTACTATTTATTGACACATTTATTATTTATTATTCAATCACAAACTATTAATTTTATCTAAGGTTAATTAAACATAAAATTTATCTGATCAAACTTTGCAACTTTCTTATATTTATAATTTTAAATTTACTGCTTCAGAAATTCCAAAACTTTAAGTCTGTTTGTTCTGCAAAAAAATGCTATATAATCTTCAGTTATGAAAGAAAGATTTTGACATATTTTTACATGCTAACATGCTGGCATAAGAAAACAGCTGTCACATTTGCAGGAAATCAGATAAGGACTATTTATAACTTGTTTCTGGAATATTTTGGACAAACTCTGCAAAACTGAGAAGTCTACCCTATAGTCTACCCTTTGTGTCCTCTAATTGGTATAAGAAGAACCTTACAAAGGTAGGTATTAATAAATAGTAGATCCTTGTGCACTGTGTATGTTTATATCCAGACCTGTTAATAGAATTAAAAATTTAAATTAATCTAGGCTTGTTTTTTTCTATAATCTTCTCTATACTTAAAGGATGACTGGCTGCAGGTGCAAGAAATATCTTTATTGAGATAAGAGAAAGTATTGCAAGAAAGTTCACATTCAGGGAAGGATTAAGACTATGAAGGACAAACTCATTGTGACATGTTCTCTTCAGTAGTTGCTTCATCTCTCTTTAGTGACCACAACTTGCCAAGTGTTTTGCAGTGTTTTCATTTACTGGTGAGTGCTCAGCCAAAATAGCTTTCTTCTTTTCTTCCTTTCATGAACACATAAATACATGTCTCATGTAGGAGATGTAAGCTCAATTTTTGTAAAAAAGGCTCTACTTCTTTGTTTGTATAAGATTCATCACGCAAATAATTTCTCCCTGGTTCACACACGCCACCTAGAATTTTACAACCTGTATTATCCAAGACAAGTTTCCTGGGTAATTCAAGGGTCTCTGTGCAGCTACTAACTTAGCTAGATTCACTGAGAGCATTTCAGATGGAGACCATAGTATTAAACTGACAGTAGAAATGAAAGCAAGACAAAGAAGGGATGATAACTGTTGTAATTGACACTGCCTGAAGCCTTTTTTTTTTATTTTGCACATAGCTACAAATTGTATTAGAGTCATTTGCTCTCATACTCACTGTGACCAGTATCCACCCCCAATATCTTCTTCTTGTTTATATTGCAAGCTATTTGGGGCTAGGATTCTTTTGTTTGCAAAATACACTGTGCAAAGGGCCCTAATGTTCATTTGTCATAGGTTACCAAAACATAAACATTTAATAATAGCACAATTTAATACCACTATCATGACATGTCTGTTTGATTAACATAATTGCTTACTTTTTTAACTTCATACTTAATGGCAAGTTTTAAGCGGCTAAGGCTGGGGCGGCCGTGTTCTCCATTACTGAGGTTCATCTCTACATCACCATTCAAAATAGCTTCCACTTCTTCTGTATTTCTGCACAAATCAAGGAGTCCGACTACAAAATCTTTACATTGCATAGACAGTTTCTTGTAATCATTCTAGAAAACAGAAGAAAGAAGACTTGGTGTTTAGATCCACCATGACAGAAACAGTTCTACATCCCAGCCACACCTCTGTGAATATTTTCTTTGCATCTTGTTATGCACTTCCCCCCCCCCCAAAAATGTTCAGAGTGGGATTTGTCTCCCCTTGGTTACCTTGCATATCTACCTTATCAAGTTCTGCACCTCAGTCACTTCTCTAGACTCGCTTTTGAGGTAATTAAAGTTAAAAAAAAAACACTTTCAGAAATGTTGTATGACATATTTTAATAGCCATAATGAAGACTGGGATCCAATTTCTGTAATGGGGGTTGTATAAAAGAAAATAAAAAAATCAAAACAGCAGAAAATCAGACTTTGAGTTGATACATTGAATTTTGCTTCTTATCAGAAGAGCAAACTCAACCTTATTAGGGGAAGTAATTTACAGTAAACAGTAACATATCTATATTTAACTTAAAAATACATTTTTCATTCCATCCCATGACACAATAAACCCATCTGTTGCTGTTATAGTTGCAATAGACTTTGTACTAAATGCTTATCTTATCCATTTTGAACAGCACTGGGACACAGCTGTCCCTCTCAAAACTCCAGGCCACATCTCTGCAGGACAACATTTGTCATATATCATCGACATCTTTATGGACATAATAGAGATATTAGCTCTAGGGTGGGCGAATGATTGAGATGACAGAAAACATGATCACAATCTCCAAAAGTAAAAATATTCTATATAACATCAAACTTGTAAAACTGCACACTTAGTCATATCAGGGTAATCCCAAGCACAAGCAGAGGCTGTGCAGAGAATGGGTCAAGAATAACCCGGGGGAGAAGGACTGAGGGTGTTTATGGATGAAAAGCTCAATGTGGGCCAGCAATATGTGCTTGCAGCCCAGAGAGCCATCGATATCCTGGGCTGTATCAAAAGCACCTTGGCCAGCAAGTCAAGGAAGGTGATTCTGCCCCTCTACTCTGCTCTTGTGAGACGCCACCTGCAGTGCTGTGTCCAGCTCTGGGGCCCCTAATAGAAGAAAGAGGTTGACCTGTTGAAATTAATCCAGAGAAGGGCCACTAAGGGCTGGAATACATCCAGAGGGCTGGAACATGTCTCGTATGAAGACAGGCTGAGAGAGCTGGGTCAGCCTGGGGAAGAGAAGGCTCCAGGGAGACCTTATAGCACCTTTCAGTACCTAAAGGGGTCTTACAAGAAGGCTGGAGAAGGACTTTTCACAAGGGCATGTGAAAAAGGTCAAGAGGGAATGGCTTTATGCTGAAGCAACATAGGTTTAGATTACATATTAGGAAAAAAATCTTTACTATAAGAGTGGTGAGACACTGGAATAGGTTGTCCAGAGAGGATTCCCCATCCCTGAAGATCTTCAAGACCATGTTGAACATATATATATATATAATATTAAACTAAATATATATATAATATATATAAACTAAATATATATATAATATTAAACTAAATTAAATGGTGTTCAGAAAATCCTGAAGATCTCAGAATTACTCGGGAAGCCTGAATTAGCTCTTTGTTACAGAAATATTCCTACACTGTGATTGACACATCTCTCCAGTTTAGCACTGACCCTTTCTATTGCCTCTGAGGAAGATCTGGGAATTATCTGTGCCACTGGTTGCTGTAGGCACTCACTTGAAAGTTCCCCTGCAACAATACCCCATCAGCACTATAAAATAGGTGACTGTTATAACAGTGTATTACAGAAAGTTCAATTTCCATTTAGGTAAGGTTTGAAATACTTCAAGTGGCTAAGGTAAACCCCAGGTGGAGCTAAAGATTTGCCATGCCCAGCTTACCTATGCACTAAAAATATACTTGTTCTGACTACACTAACACGTGTAACCCATTTTTATGAAGCTCACATTTTTATGCAGCAACTACACTATCCAGGTATTTGTAGCAAACTCCTGAAATAAAGCAAGGTTAACAATTGTTAGATAAATTGCTGCAAGCAGGGATACGAGCTTGTGGGAGTACAAGCTAGCCCACACTCAGTAAAGCTGACAGCATCCATTTCCTGTAACTGGCACACACTTGTACTGTCTCCTCTGAAACTAAGACAGGCATTTTGCTGTCAAGTCCCTAGCCTGTCTAGATATTGTAAATGTTAATCACTTATCAAAATTGTAAATGTTAATTCTCAATAATTCACGTATAAATGTGAATGGTCTTTAATATTTATCCAGAAACACCACGGGATTTTAGTACCTATAAAAACATTCCCTAAAGACCTTATGTTTCCTGCTCCTGGTGAAACCTTAAATTAAGGGAGAGTTAAATTTCTGTGTTGCCTACTGCTCCTGCTCCTCACAGTTCCTATCCACCTCCACTCTACTCAAAGAGTATGTATGTTCCCAGTAGAGCCTGGATGATTAATGCCCAGTAATGTGGAGCTGCTCTGTCTCTCATCTAGCCTCCTGTTTCTGCTGAGGGACAGTACCTCAAAATCTCTGTTGAAATTCTTTATACAACACTGCACTAGAAGTTAAGCTCTAATTTTCAAGAAAGCAACTGAAACAAAAGAGGAACTAGAAAAAAAAGAAGTCCTTGAAGAAAGACCTTCTCATGGTGCTTCAGAGCAGGCTGTAGAAGCTTGCTCTGTGATCCAGCCCACCTGTTCTCACCTGTGTACTCCATTCCCTGCCTGGTGGTACCAGGGACAGTGTGCTCCCAGTTCATCCCACTGACTGTGTGTGCAGCATACATTTGAAAGACAGTTCTTGCTGACTATTCCAGATGATGATTTTATTTATCTTTATAATTATCTTAGTTTGTGTCACTCCAACTGTGGTAAAAGGAGCTATACAGTTCCTACAAATCAGACATGCTATTATCTCAACATAGCTGTGAACTTAACAGGCTGCATTTATGGTGTATGCAAAATGGTTTTCTGTTCTGTTCTAAATTTACTCCTCTTTAAGTTAATCAACTCCTTTTGTTCCCATCAGCAGCTGCTAAAGAGAAAGAAATGAGTGTGTTGTTTAAATTCTCTCCTCTGAACTGTACATGAAAGCAGTGGATGAAATCTCAGTCCACTGAGGTCCTAAGGATTTCTGTCAGGGACTTCGTGAGGCAGATATGCATCCTCTGCATTAAGTTGAAATGGTCCTCCCACCATTTTTTTTATTGATATAAAATAAAAATTCTCCTCTGCTCCAATTTCTGATGTTTTTAAGATCATCTTGCTCATTCCTTCTCCTTACTTTCCCTCTCCAAGAAATATTTCTGCTTCTTACAACAGATTGGTGCCATAAAGACACCCTTATGAACACAACTCAGGAGTAATTCATTCAGAACTTCAGCATCTCAGATCAGGTTGGATAAATCGAGAAAGGTTCAGGGCCTTGTGAGCTGTGCCACTGCTAAGATGAACATTAAATATTGATCATGCCAACTTCAAACTCTTCCTAACATAATGTTGAAAATTATTCTATTACTGCTTTGGAGGGGGTTTATCTCCTGCTAGTGAAGTCTATATAGTAGCATCTGCTTTCAACAGTGTCCTATAAGGCAAACCCAGTCTAAGTGATTTTAGCTAACCTAAGTCATAATTAACAATGGCAATGTTTGCACAAAGCCTGACTTTGCATTTACTGAGAGAAAGAAAGTTACATTCTTACTTGTCCTAACACAAACGAACTGTGGAAAATATTTCTGCATGTTGTGCACCTACATAACAAAAAAAATGAACCAAAGAACACTCACACTTCACGTCTCAATAAATCACACTTTTTTTCAAAATCATACATTTGTAAAATATTACAAAATTCTTTATAACACTGAAAAAGTCTTTAACGTTAGAGAGTTCCCATGTAACGAACCACAAGTAAGTAAAAAAGAGGAAGAAGCCACTAGAAATACCAGAAAAAATAAAGCATGACATTAAAAAAGGAGAAGGATGTTTATTTAGAGTCCTTTTTTGTGAATAAATGCAAAACTTTGTGAGGAATGAGAAAGCTTTCAGTCCAATTATGAGAAAATAATAAGAGTCTGCAAGTGTTTAATAGAATCATGCAACTTGTCTTGCCAAACAGTACCAAAGGGTACCACTTTAGTCTCCTCTTTCCCTTGCCCTAAGACAGCTTAAGCATGGGTTTGAAGGGCCTCCTTTACTATCCTGCCTAATAGGAAGCAGAAAATTAGTTCACTGGCACATTCTACGCAAGGATCAAGAATTACGCTCAGCACACAGCAATAAGACAGTCCCAAAGATTTAAATACTCCATTGATTAAACAATTATATCTTTTCCCAAATTATCCTGCTGATTTATGAAGATAATGCTGATCTCTTACTGCTCAAGGAATGGGATAGAAACCTTTGATTGAACTTTGCAATTCTGTGTCTGTCAGAATCAGTACCCCTCTACTCACCTTGAATTCTTTCTCTATGTTTGCAAGCACAGCCAGCTCATTGCTGAGCTCTAAGGCAGTCATTACAGGGTCTTCACTGGACAAAGACAGATAAGCAGGGCTGGCCAGACCTTTGTAGGCATTGATTCTGGATCTGGAATGGCTGAAAGAGTCATGTTTTTGTTTCTGATTGCATTCACTGCACTTGCAGAAATAGTCATGTGGCCTATCGATCCTAGCTCCTTTTCTCAGCAGAGTGTGGACAATCTCATACTCATGGCAGTGAGCAGCCAGAATGATTGGTGTAACATCATGGGAAAACCGTGTGCCATCTTCATCATATGCATAGAAGTCATCTTGCTGGAGCTCTGACTGGCTAGGACTCAGTGCAAGCCTCTTGCCTTCAGCAAAAGCGGGATGGTTTAGGATGGCTTCCACTATCCGAACATAACCTTTGCTAATAGCCAAAAGCAAGGCATCCCCCACCCGAGACAGGTTCTCCTTCTTCAGCAGAAGTTCTGTGATCTCCAGGTGCTCATTGGCAACTGCCAGCTGCAAAGCGTTCTGTCCCATGTAATCCACACAGTTCACATTGAGTGAGGGACATTCTTCCAGCATTTTGCGAACCACTGGAATATTTCCATATTCTGCAGCATCCAAAAAGCGTTCCTCCTCAAGGGAAAGACTTGTTGAGTGGTCATTAAACATATATGCTGGGCCTCGACTGGCCTGCCTCCTCCCCTTCTCCCGGAGAATGGTCTGTCTTCGTAGAGCTAGTCTGTTCTCGTTGCCTCGGCTGTGTGGAAATAGAAAAATTATAAGTTCAGTTTTATGCAAGGGCATATCCATTTTAAATAATAATTAATACAAATACTTTAAACCTTTATCTTCTGCATATTTTTTAATGCATTCGGAAGACCAGAAACACTGACTTTGATGCCCTATGTAACCACAGTCACTACACAGGCCTGGAATAAGCAGCCAGATACTTTATTCAACAAGAAGAAAAAGCCCTAATCAATCATAATTTAACACTACACTTTTTTCTTTATTTTGTCCTCACAGCTCAGAGTGAAAACAAGCACAAAATGAAAGGAATCAGCAGTCATGGGGTTAGGAATGAGGGATTGCTCAGGACTTCAGGGCTCTGGTTTCTCCTATTCACCCTGATGATGTTTTTCTGTCATCTATAATTGAATGTTCAGTCATAGATTGAATCTGGACAAGATAAAAGCATACAATTACACTGTATGACATTTCTTACTCCCCATCTCCACCATCCTTTTCATTATTACAGTTTGTAACCTTGATATACTATTTATTCCTTCACTCAGTAGCTTGCCAACACATCCTGCCGATTCTTGATTCACAACACTTCTGAAATGTTGTCCAGCCTGCTACTACTGAAACCCTCAGCCATTCCTAACCTTTTATAGTAATTATTAATTACTTTATTAATAATTATTTAATGATTAAAACATAAAGGGAACTATATCGAAGTTTATTCAGGAATGCTACAAAGTATGCTACATTCTCTTTAACAAGAAGAAAATCCAATTCGCAACTGTTATTATTTCAGTCAACTAAGATCCCAATCCTGAATAGAAATTCAGTTGTGAATAATTTTCTCTTTTAGAATTACTCTGCTAAACTGCATAATATTCACCACAACTTCATCTTTTTTTCTCATTGAATAGTAGCTTAATGATTCTTTACATACATATGCTCAAACACACTTCATTATATTCAGTATTTCCCATAAAATACTAACCATGAGTAATATTTTATTCATTAACTACTTACTAATGAATATGAATTTAAATGTCTATATTTAACTTTAGTATAAATTTCTTTTTTTTCCTCTTGCCTTCTCAGTTCCAGAGATACAGTTCTCTGCAGCACTGCAAATGCTTCAAATTGCCAAAATATTACATATAGAAGGACAATTTTTGTGTAAGAGAGTAATAGGTATGGAATGTGGAATATATCTCAACAGGCAAGAGTAAAGGTCAATGTAACAGGACTAATACTGTGCTGCAATGGCAAATTTACAGCCTTTGTTTGCACTGTGTCGGTCATTTCATGTTATGGAACCATGTTAGATCCCATTTTCTACTCCTCAAGATTTCTGCAAAGGTTGTCTCAGTTCCTGCATGTTCAGAGCATAAGAGAGAGCATGAATATATGCTAATGTCTAACAGACTGATATGGTATATGGCTGGTTGAAATTTTTCCATGCATATTTCCAGATATTTTAAAAAGTATATTTATATTTGTTGAAAAGACAGCCTTTGGAGAGGTTTCATAAAACATGAAAACCAAATGAATGAAAATTTTACTGGCATTCATGACATTATTGGTGCCAAAACCTGAAATTCACTAAATAGAAGCCAGCCTGTTGTTATATCTACAATTGTTTGACTGGAAATATGTGTCATAAATTGGAACAGGGATGAAATGCTAGGAAGAGATCACAACAGAGAAAGCAGATACCAGGGTTTCCAGTTTTCAAAATTATACCTCAAAGGACTCTAATGTGGTTCTGAACAGTTTTTTCATGCACAGAATATGACAGTGTACTACAGATGAGGTGAAAATCGACTGGGTGTCAAGAAAGAGAAGGATGCTAAAGGCATGAAGGTGCAGGGAGGAGGGGAATGAGAGAGAAAAGAATGCAAGGGGAAATTTCCAAACCTTACGGGTTTTAAGATTTATGCACTGAATAATTCTTAAGAGATGATCATAGCAACACCACAGGGAGACAAGGAGACAACTTCCCTAACTTGTGTAAGAGAATCAGTGCTCAAAAAATAAAGAACTTAACTACACCAATTAAGTTAATCCTACAGTCAAGGGTTTTAACCAGGCTGTATGTTTCCTGAGTTTTATAGATTCCTAGAAAAAAAGAGGCTCAGAGTAACAGTCATAAAATTTTCAGAAAAAAAATCAAGTTGATGCTGATCAACTGATCAGAACTGATTTTCATTCACCATTGCCATTGTTTATCCAAATTGTGCAATGTGTGGGGAAAAAAAAGACATTTTCATAGTGAAATTAGCTAGAGTTAAAGAAAAAACAAATAATGCATAGTGTAGTTATGTGTCTTGTACATGTATGTATGTTGCTACCAAATTTAATTACACAGGGTTGGAGTTTAGAGCTGAATTAATAAAAATGGAAGTTTCTCTAATGCAAAAGAACTAATTGATAAAACGTGAATACAAAAACTTTGTACTGCTTTTAAAACTTTCAACAAATCTGATGTCACAGAAATACTCTGAATTGTGAGAATATAGCAATCTTACAAGATTCAACACATATATACAGGAAAACTAGGATAAATATAAAATAGAAAGCATATAGCTTTTTATCTGTGTGCCATTTCTATAGTTCACAGGATCTGCATTTAAGACTAAGTTTAGTTTAATGAGTTCAATCTCTCAAACTTCTACAGTCAGTAAAGGCAAACTGAGATGCCTTTACATGAGATCAGGATTCAGAGCAGGAACTCCACCTCTTTGTACATAAGGAACTGCCTATATCATGGTTAACATCATCAACATAACACTAGATATGTTATGTTTATATTACCCTCAGATAAATAGCCTAAAGTCCTCACATCTCATAATAACATGACTGTACTGCTTATCCTTATCCTTCTGATTCTCACTTTTGACAGAAGCAGTGAGACAATACATATGCATGCAAAGATGGAGTTAGGAAAGTTTAAGTTCAGCTAGAGTTAAAAGTAGCAAAGAACGTGAAGAGCAGCAAGAAAAGCTTTCTAAAAGCACACTAGAAGCAAATGGAAGACTAATGGAATTCATGTGCACCCAACATTTGCAAAGCCCCAAACTTGCTCAGCAAGTTTCTTAAAGAGGGCTCAGGTACTCCCTGAGTCAGGTGCAAGGGAGAATGTGACTCAGGAGGTTAAAAGACAAACTTCTTACTGGCAAACTTTAGAAAATAAGGGTACTTGGCAAATTCTAAAGCAACATTCAATCAAAATAAACCATTTCACAAAGCATTGACTTAATAAACTCTAACCCACTTAACTTTAGGTTACCCAGATTTTGAGAAGAGCAAAAAAAGGGAGAAGGAGAGAGATAAGAGAAAGATGTAGCTACTGTCTTGGTTCCAGTGTGGTCTCAGCTGGTATAAAATCCAAGACAACAGGGACATTACACATGTATACTTGCGCAGTTGCTTTTATCTGCTCTGGTCTCTTGGGACCCTTCCCTCAGATGGGGTTTTCAGTGTGCCAGTGGCTATGAGCCATTCTGGGCTGGACTAGAGGCTCCAGGGGAGAGCTGTGGAGCAGTGCACCATCCCATCTACACAGAACTTGCCCTGCCCTAGCCAACCACCCTCACTTTAGTTGTTTTGAGCCAGTGATCATTTTCTGCAGTCTCTCACACTGTTCAACTGACTGCAGTGCTTAAAACTGAGACAAAGAAAGCACTGAGTACCTCAGTCTCACCTGTGTCCTTTGTCACTGGGTCCACCAGCAATAATCAGCCTGTGGTGGTGAACTGACCCAATAAACAGATAAAAACTGCAGTTCATTAAACACTTTCTCTTCCATTTTTTAAATAATGGAAACAGATTATATGTCTATTCTAGCAATACATTCAGTATGATTTATCAAAACAATAGTGAAGAATACTTAGAATTAGCTTCGTCTAGTAGCACTTCCTCTTTCCTGGCATGCATTTAGAAGAAAATCATTGCTTAAAAGGAGGATTGAGTATATACATTCCTTAGATAGTAGCTCATCTTCTGGATTAGAACCTATTGCAGAAAGAAATAGAAGATTTTTGCATTGTTTGCTGGACATGTATGCTCTAATGCATGTCTGATGCACACTTCTAGAATCTCAGTGTAATCCACTTTCCTTGCATCAATATATTTTATAGGTATGAAATAAATTTCCTGGTTTGTCCATTTGTAATTACAGTTAATTAAAGTTAACAGTCTGTAATGAAAACTAGTTCTTGCAGCATGAGACCATAAATATGTTTAATTGTAATATAGAAAACTAAATTTTATAAGACACTTGATTGCCTCCAAGAGCAGGGAAAGGAATTTGAAGATCTGAAAAATTATGTTCAGTCCTGTTGTATTCTGATGTTCTTATATTTATTTCAACATTACTAAATTCCTTCCAGTCCATTTTTTATTAAAAAGATGCCCATGTTACCATCTATTGTCACAAATGGTGGCCACATAAGTCTTTGAAACTTCATCGTTCCCAGACTTTAACGTTTGGTTGCAACAGACTATTAATGCACTTTTGGGCAGATAAGGTCTAAATGACTATACTTATCACCACTTACTACTGAAGAGCCAGTATAACCAAGCCTGGAATAGTGTTAACATTTTGGATATCATATTACAGGAAGGAGTTCTATAAAATAAGAAATTAAATGCAAGAGAGCAGCAGAGGTCACACAGTCTCTACTGTATTTGCCACTTTAAGCATAATAAGATTGATTTTGTCAATTATACAGGATGGTACTCATCTCATTTCTACCACAGGATCGGTACAATTCAAGTATAAATTAGTCATTTTGATCTTCTCCATATATAAAGGAGAGACATTTCTTCTACCTCCTTTTTAAATTGAGCACCTATATTTTTCCATTTTTTCAAAAAGAATTTTGTCTAATCAGTGATTTGGTAAGATTAAGGCCTACTTTAATGAGTAGCATTTAGCAGCAATACAGAGTACAGAAGGATGATGGAGTCAAGTCCTTACAAGTACAGATACCACCTCAAACAATTCCCATTAAAATA